GACAGAGCCGCCCAAGGAATTTGCCTCCCAGTGGCAAAACGGCGTTCTAGATGTCCACGAGGGGGCAACCAAGGCTACACCAGTCCTCGGTCGCTATGGAAACCGCTGAGCCGGATGCTGCGTTATCCCAACACCCCCTGGAGATGCAGAGAACAACCCCTGTGCAGAGTCCCGGATTCTGGCGGGTCTTTGCCCCACACCTCCAGACAAAGATCCGGGCAGGGGCAAAGTACCCGGCGGAACTTCCATCTCCACATTGCTCACTTCTGCAGAAGTCACATTTTTCCATCTTGAGCAAGGCATAGCAGCCGTGGGGCAAAAGTGAAATGGGGCTTTGGATCACCCAAGCCAGATCCTTCGTGTTACAGAATAAGCTAAAAACCCAGAGGGAAAAGACCATACCATGGAAGTCCTGGAAACAGAACCAAAGAAAATGGAAAAAGAAAACAATGCAGGGTCCTCCCTGGTGGTGAATGGGGTTAAGTCTCAGCACTAGGAAGCTCTCTGCAGCCACCGCAGTATGAGTTTGACCCCCCGGGCAGGGAGGTGACCCACTTGGTGCAGCAGACCTCTCCTGTCTGGCCTGCTGCCCACTTTCAGTAGGTCTGCCTGTTCTGTTCCCCACTCTGTCTCTGGTGAATCCTCTCACCCCCGCACCTCTGGCCTGTACCCCAATTCTGTATGCATAAATACATAATCTTTAAGAAAACTATGCAAATGACTTTTTAAAAAAACTGGCAATGCATTTTTTAATTTCCATTTTAGAATTTAAATTGTCTTAAAGCCCATATTCACCTGGTAAGTTTTTAAAAAGACACAATGTCACAGTACTTCCCTTTAGCTATTTGTATGCATCATTTTATTCCTGTAACATTTTCTTCTTTATCCAATTAGTATCTTTCCTTCCCAGACTTCTATTTCATCTATAAAGTGAAGACATTGGTCTAGCAAATCTCAAAAGCCATTATTCTTTATAATAAAGCAAACCCTTCATGTTATAAATTCAGACCAATTTACTGGGTAGATGAGTGGGTAAGATCCTCTGGGCCCACAGCCCACTTTGCAGTCAGACGTCTCTGTAACTGGGCCTTTGACAGCTAAAGACAGCCTAGGCCAGGGCCCTGGAATTCTTGTAGCAAGTTGCAGTGTTAAGAGTATGTTAGCCGTAAGCAAAAGCTACCTAGAAAAGAATATTTAAAAGTTAATCCAACTGCAAGTTTATTTTAAAATTCAGATATAGTTAATTCAGTAGGTATAATGTGAGCATAATCTTGTTTTATTTCTAGCCCCTCATGCTTTTTCTTCCCTCTTTTCCATGTCCATGGCTCATATTTCCATTTTATGATCTCCAAACAAGAGTCTCTTACTTGGCTGCAAAAGCCTTTGGATGCCATTTTGCACCTAGAAGGCCTGGTGGGGTCAGTCTTCCCATACAATCAGCCACATTCCAGAGTCATTGGGCATCCATGTCTCAGGGGTGGACGTAGGTAGGGGAGGCCCTCCTTGAAGTTTTTCATGACTCAGGGCCTATAAGGAGAGCCTGGGATTAAACAGAGCAGACCCTGGGGAAGGGCCAAAATGATATGTTAGGCCCATTCTACCCTTTGGCAAACAGCAGACTTAATACACAAGGGAAAAGTGACTGGCTTGAGCAGGGACTGTCTGGGAGAGCCAGGTGAGTGAGTCAGGAGCCAAAGTGAGGTCCCCTGACTCCTCAAATGATGCACTTAGCTCCCGCCGGAGTCCCTGCCACTGGGATGGAGCAAGAGTCTGTGAGCCTTCAGTTCACCCAGGCGGCAAGAGACTGTCAAGGGGGTTTGTGAGGAAATCTGGGTGGCTGGGTGGGTGTCAGTGCTCTAGTCTGGCAGTTGGGTGTTCCTCACAGGAGCCCTGAGGAGAAACTGCTGAGAATGAGAAGGCTGGAAAAGCCCCCAGAATGGCCCAACTGCAACATGGCAGGGTGCATGCACTGGGGTCAAGAGCATACCTAAGACAGGCCGCTGGAATCTGGGATCTGACACTCCAGAAACGGGCAAGGTACTTGGAAAATTTCTTAAATTCTCTGAACCAGTTTCCTCAAGTATAAAATGAGAATGAGAATATTTACTTCATATATCGTTCAATTCATGATATAAAATGCCTCTTTGGTCCTGGCAGGTGGAAACGGCCAAACTGGCCTCATTGTTAGTGCAAGAGCAGGAGAGGATTGTAGTGGCCAGCAGGTGGTGCTGGAGCCCAGCGCCCAGCCATCCGTCTCCTGAAGCTCCTGAGTGGAGCAGGGATTTGGTGGTAATTGCAGGGGCAGAAGACTTCCTTTTCTCCGTGTAAACTCGCTGCTTGGCCTCACTTCTTGTTGAAGCGATACAGCCCCAATCAGTGCCCACTTACGGGGTCCTGACTCGGGAGTGCACCAAGGACGGTCACTCAAAGGACACTAGTTAGTTTCCTGTTCATCCAGGAATAGCTTAAGCGGTTGGATCTCCACCAAGCTACCTTCACCAGATCCTATCTCTTCTCCCGTGTTTTCATGAAAACCAGAGATGAGACATTTTAATGAACATTTTAAGTGACTGGAACTTGGAGATTCATGTGCTATATTTGGAAAGCCCCAGGGGGTTGGACCAGGGGGACTGAGGGAGAAGGCAAAAGTCAAAATCCACCTTGTAAGGAGCCGAAAGTCAAATGTTAGATTGTTAGAGTTGGACATAGAAGGCATTTGGTGCTAACTGTTGAGTCCCCTCACCTCTACTCTGACTGAGACTACGTGCCACAGAACCCCAATTCTTGTGCTCCCCCTTCAAGGGTAGCCTCTTGCTCACCAGGTTGGAGTTGGGGGGCTGTGAAGAAGCTTATGGGCACCATAGAACACCTGGAGTCCAGGGCTACTCTCCTTAGCTGGTCCTCTGGGGCCCAGGCCTCAACCAGACCAGATCTGTCTATTCTGTCAAGAACTTCCAATCCTGAGCAGATGCCCAAAACCGGGTTGACATGGAGACAGGAAGGCACAACGAGACCAGGGCTTTCGAATGGCAAGGAGCTTCTTAGCACCCTGCCCCACTGAGGTACCTAGAACCCAAAGGTGTGGGTTGGAGACTGGAAATTGTCCCCTCACCATCCAAGCTTTGGGGCCAGGCAGCAAATGCCAACCCCTGGACCCGGGCAAGGGGGGGCGGATGGTGTGAAGGGTGAGGGTTGCAGCATGGCCGCCATGTCACTGCTCTTGGACTCCCCGTGAACTATCCATTCCCCACTTTTATCATTCATCATCCAGCTCTCCTTCCTGCCCAGTAGGGCCTCTGGAGTGGTTGTCAATACACCTGCCCACCTTTGGTGTCCACACCAGTGAGCAGATTCTGCAGTGGACACTCTTGGTACCGTCCCCACACACGTTTTCTAAGAAAACAGGCAGAAGTGTGGCATTTTAGTAGCCACAGAGCAGCACACAGGCTGTGTCCTTGAAGGACTCGGCCCAGAAGCTGTAGACCAAAGGTAAAACTGATGATGGTGAGAACAGGTGAAGTGCTTGAGGCACAAAATCTCCAAAACCTTGTGCCGGCAACCCCATCCCACCTCTGCTCCACTCACTGTTCTTGTCCCTCATTCTGGTACAGCCAATTAGGCATCTGTTTCTAGAATACATCAAGCTGGTATCCACCTCAGGGCCTTTGTACCCTCATTCAGCCTGGAATTCTTTTCTTCTTAATGTTCCTTCACCTTGAATCTTGGCCGTGAAGTTATTTCCTCAAAAAAAAAAAAAAACCCTGGAACCACTCATTTATATTTCTGAATTACACTTTCTACTAGTTTCAGAGCATCATTTTGAGATGGCAGTGGTAGAAAGCAATACTTTTTTTATCCTCTTGATAACAAAGCACCATAATAGAAGGTACCTCTAGTAGCAATTGTTTTCTACCATGCAGATATGTGAAATACTAATGTTTGGTTTTAATTCTAAATCTACGACATTTTTAGACTGGTTATCTGTGATATATAAAACACAATTCTATAAATCTGGTCATTGTATCAGGCTTTCACCTATCTTTGTATTGAAAATTGCCATCATTTATTGTTTGTCCAAAGCACAAAATCATGAACAAGAAGATAATAAGGACTAAACGTAGTAGTAGCACCATTTGTTCCTGCACACCCTTCAGGAAGCCACGGATTTATCTGGCATTTCCTTTTCTCTCCTGTGGTATCATTAAATGTTTCATCATCACAGATCTTAGTCTTAACAGATAGTGTTATGGAAATCAGTGTCCACACCTGTGATGCCCCACAGATGAAGGTGACATAGAAGAGGCCAAGGAAGTTACATTTTGTGATGAAGGTGCAAAGTTGCCCCACTTCCTTCTTTGTCTTATTCCTATAGCTGAAGTCAAAACCTAAAATCAACTAGTTGCTATGTTTACTTTTTTATTAGTGTCATTCTACCACGTGAGTGCATACTCCCTCCCCGAAAACGGGTCTTTCCCATCTACAGCTCCATCCCGCTCCTCGCAATACGCCCCAGACAGAGGAGGCGCGCTGTGGCCGTTACTGGAATAAGTGCACTCACAGGTACCCACGACCCAGCCTCGGACCTGCTGGGCGTTCCCAGCTGCACCCGAACTGGCGAGTCGCGGGAGGCGCCGCGTCTCTCCGCGGGTCGCCCGCGCGGGGCCCTCTGGGAGTTGTAGTCCACGCGCCCGCGGCAGCCCGTGGGTTGCGGGAGCGAGGCTCAGTGTGCGCAGGCGTACTTCCGGCGCTGCCCCGCCGCTGCGGCCATTGTCCGACCCCGCTGTGGCGAAAGGCGTCTTTGGGCCGCCCCTCCGCACTTCAGAATCGGAGCGGACCGAGGCCTGCGGCTGGGGCGGGAGGAGCCAGCCCGAGTCCTGGGTGGGCTCGAGGTCACGAAACCCGGAGTCCCCTGGAGGGCGCCAGTCGCGTCGCCGGCGACACCTCCCACGAGTTTGGCGCGTGTCCGCGCGGCCGCGCCCACCATCCTGCGGGTGGGACTGGGCGTGGCCAGGGGAGGGCGTCCAGGCGCGGCGAGCTTTTAAACTGGGGGAACGAGCGGCAGGTCCTGGCGGGGTCCGCGCACCTCAGCCCCCGGCGTCCCGGGAGAAGTGCCCGAGGGGTGGGGGCGGCGGCTGCAGCCGGTGAGTGGGCCCTCCTCTCCCCTGCGGCTCCCGGCTCTGGGAGCCGGGCCTCCGCGAGGCAGGAATGGCCCCGAGGCCTCCGACGGCCACGCCCCAGGTGAGCTGCGCGCCCCCCTGCTACCCCTGCCTCTCCCTGCGTCCCACCCGAGGAACCCCCCCGGGGCGTGATTGGAGCTATCCTTGTTCGCCGGAGCGTTTTGCTTTCTGGCTGGATGGCCCCTCCTGGAGCCTCCTAGCCTCGCGAAACCCAAAGTGTCCTGAGCTGGGAGAGGGGCTTCCTCAGAGAGGGACAGTGTGGTCTTGTGGGAGGAGTGGAAAGTGGATGGTTGCGTTGGGGAATGTCAAAGTTGAGAATCCTGCCCGTTCCTGGAACTCTGTCGGTTGGGAATGGGGAAGGTGGGGTGACAGAATAGGAACTTGTAGAAGCAACTATCACTGTGCCAAGGAGAGGGGAGCTTAAGGCGCCAAAGAAGCTTGGTCAAGATTGGCCTAGAAAGAGGCAACTGGAGATAGCCAGTCCCCCACAGTTTGGCTGTTTCACAACCGCCTAATAGTGCACGTCCCTATATGCCCAGCCTTCAGCTTAATATGAAGCCGATTTGTGAACCCATTTCTAGAAAGCATGTCCTAGACACATCACCTCTCAGGTTATCCATTGATTTACATGGAGTAAGTCCGGAAAACTACAATGAGGTCCAAATGCATTTAACCTGCTCTCTTTAGACTTAAGGAAAAGTCACAGATTCTAGGTGCTAGGTGCCTGTGACAGACAGCTCAATCAAAATAATTGACTAGTAATGCCCTATCAAGACAGTTTACAATTAAATGTAACATTGTGTATAATACCTTTAGGTTTTTTAAAATACATGTTTCTCTTTTACAGGGGTGGGCCTTAAGCAGGCAAGACAGTTAAAATAATAGAGCAAGACAGTTACTTGTTTTTTTTAAATATATTTTTTATTTATTTGTGTGCAGAAGAACTGGGTGTAGGCTAGAATGAGGGGGCTGTGTGAGAAGATTCACCAGAGAGACAGTGGGGGAGCAATACAGGCAGATCTGTTGATATACACTACTGAGGGAAGGAGCAGGCGGAACTGGAGAGAGAGGTCTGCTGCACCATGTGGGTTATTAGCTCCCAGGCCAGGGATTGATCCCAGACCATAGTGGGCCTTTGCCGTGGGAACACTGCCACCAGGGAGGCCCATTTACTTGGTTTTAGGAGCCAGACCAAATCACTGTCAAAGACAGCTTTAGATACAAAGTGTTTCCTCCATAGGATTGAGAATTAAGGTGATTTAAAACACTCATGGGAGTGTTGATCCCTTCTGAAGTCCTTGTTGGCCTCTTAATGGTGAAAGTGGAATTGTGTTCTTAGAAGTGAATTTTAGGAACCTCTTTAAATTAGACTTTTAAAGCACCATGGTTCAGTTATTCTCATGCACTCCATTTGGGTTCTTTGACTCAGGCCAGTGGCAGCGACCAGAGACAGGTGGCAGGACAGAAGTCAAGCCCACAAGTGTGGACGAAGGAGTGCTTTTTAGGTAGCCCTTTGTCAGCCAACAACCTTTACTTAGAACATATGCCTCAGGGAAATGCAAAAGATGACTAAGTCATGTGGCTGCTTATCTAGGAAGTTAATTTAGTGGGAGAAGACCACGGGGAATTCCAGCACAGGCTGTGGTGTCAAGTGTTGCAGAGAACCAGAGTCCCCAGAGAACCAGAGGCGGTGGAGAGTACAGAGGCAGAGGAATTCTGCCAGTGGGAGTCAGTGGAGGTTTCCCCTTGAATGGGGAGTCTAAGCAGGCTGTGATGGGGGTTGTAGAGCTAATTGACACTGGATCAGGGGAGTGGGAGAGAAAAAGATGAGTGTCCTGTGTGACTGGGTGAATGTGGGCTACGGGCAGTGAGGGAGTGAGAATAGAAAGGAGTCTGAAAGAATTGTTCTCCTTTTGGCCTTAGTAACTCATGCATTCACTTACTCACTCACTCAGCAGATAGTTACTGAACCCCCATAAGGTGTTAAGGTACTTTTCTAGGAGGTTGGGAGTGAACAAAATTAATAAAGGCCTGGGCTTTCAAAGAACCTATTGTCCTGCAAGAAAGGGACAGAAAAAAATTAGACACACTATCACCTAGAAGGCAACACTATCTCAGAAAATTAAGAGAAAGAGAAAGGTAAGGGGGAAGGGAGATAGGATGGACTTTAGAGTAGTCAGAGTAAGCCTTATTCATACTGAGTTGGTGACATTTGAGCAAATTAAAGGAGCAAGGATGTTGCTGATGGCTCCTGAATGGGGAGAAGTGCTCTGGGGAGAGGGAGCCGCTGTTCTGGTCGCACTACCAGACCTGTGCTGGTGTGCTGGTGTGGCGAAGGGTAAGTGTCGATTGAACCCATGTTTTGAGCAGGTAATTAGTGTACTTTCTCCTTAGTTTTTTTGTTTGTTTGTTTGTTTGTTTGTTTAATTTCTCCTTAGTTTTAAAGATAGCTGTGGATGACCAAGTACAGCTGGGAGAGTTTAAAAGTCAGAGCTTCCGTGAGCTTGGCTAACAAGTAGCTGAAGCGGCTCCGTGGTACAAGGGAGTGAAAACCCTTAGTGAAAGGAAAATCCCTTTTTAGGGAGTGAAAATCCTTAGGGCCCACAGGATCCTCAGTAGCTATATAGATGTACATGTTGTGCTTCCTTGTTCATCTTTTCTTCAGTGCATACAGAACTGGGGTACAGACCAGAGGTGCAGGGGCGGTGAGAGGCTTCACCAGAGACAGAGTGGGGAGCAGAACAGGCAGATGGACGAAGTCCACTGCTGAGGGAAGCAGTGGGCAAGACAGGAGAAGTCTGCCGCATCGCACCATGTGGATCGAACTTGCACTGAGGTGGCTGCGGCTGGCTTTGCAGTGCCTTAACCATTGTGCCACCAGGAAGGGCCCTGTATTGCTTTTTCAGTTAAGAATTAAAATAGGCGTTTGGCAACCCAAAAGTTGAACAATAAATAATGGGGGAAGTCTGATAAGGAAAAAGCCATGTAGGGAGACCAGGTTTCTTGGTTTCCTTCCTCGGAGGGGAGGAGATGGAGAGAGGGACGAGGGCCTGGTCTCTTTTGACTCCAGCGGCCAAGAGCTCTTGTGGTTCTTGTTCATCAGGATCAACAGAGCAACCAAAGCTGGCTCAGCGCTGGATGTTAGTGGCACGTGTGTTGCAGCCCCTCTGCCTGGAGCTGGTCGCTGAGCTTTGACTCAGACACTCCTTGTGGAGGTGGTGATTATCCACTCACCTCTGTACGGGCTCTCTGGTTCCTCAGGGCAGGGCCATTTGACTCCTTTCCTCCCGAGCCAAAGTCCCCATGTGGTCAGTGAGTGTCATGTGAACTTGATTACACCGACACAGATTTTCTTATAAAATAACTACATGAAACAAGGACTTTAAATGAACAGTTTTAAGAAATTTTGCCTTTAAGGCAATACTAAGTTTTCAACACCTGTCCCTCTTAAGACTTACTTAAAAACAGGGCTCTCTTTTTGACTCTTCTGTGTCTTGTACTACTTTTATTACAACTTATCTTGTTAAAGTATGTGAACATATATAGTACAGGCTCTTTCATAGAAAAAAGTCACTTATGATCTCTCTTCATTGGTGCTTCTGTATTTGTGTTGAATAATTTCTCTTTTCCCTATGCATGTTTTCCTCTTAACCATTTTAAGGAGATACAATCAGTTATACTACTTTAAACTTCATATAATTTTGTGAGAATTTTTAAGTTACATTTAAGGGTTGTATTATATTTGCTTTGTATGAACATACCCAAATTTATTTAACTACTTCTCAAAGGACATTTTTTTTCTAAAAATGTTATTATCACAAATAATACTGGGTAAATTTGCATGATTTGGGAAGAGTCTTCTCTATTTCCTCCTTATTAAAGTTTCTGCTTTCTTCTATCAACATCAGTAATTTAGAATTTAAAGGCGATCCATTTTGTTGAAATTTTTCTCATTTTTCCTGTACTGAGCACCTTTATTTCATTTAATTACAACATGGATTTTCCTATAAATGTATTTCAGTGTTTTTTTCCTGTTAATATTTTACAATATTTGGTTTACCACATATCTATAATTCTAGCTATCTTGTTTTTTAATGTACTACAGGTAAACTGTGGACATCAATACTTTCTATTAATATATCAGTGCTTATAATATTAGAGTTAGCTTTAAAATTTCCAGGTTTTTTTCTTTTGAAGTAAGTTTACAAAATGTAGAAAATCTTTTTTATATATTCC